GCTGTTAAGGTACTACTTCGCTGTGTTCTGTTAACGGCTGTTAACGGCTGTTAAGGTACTAATTCGCTGTGTTCTGTTAACGGCTGTTAACGGCTCTTAGCGGGATATATTGCAACGGCTACGTAGCTGGATATAGGATGCAATTTTTTTGCTGTGTTGCTGTTAACTGCAGTTGAAGGCGGTCAACCTACTAATTGGGGGATATAGCCATAGGGGACTATAGTACGACGGCTATCTAGCTGGATATAGTGCAATGGCTATCTAGNCGGTCAACCTACTAATTGGGGGATATAGCCATAGGGGACTATAGTACGACGGCTATCTAGCTGGATATAGTGCAATGGCTATCTAGTTGAAGGCGCTCAACCTTCTTGCATTGGTAGTCCCTTTCCTGCATGTCTTGTCAGCCAAGCTGCTGACAGTGTTTACCCTGCGGTCAAGGGGGGCCTGGCTCCCATTGCTGCCAGCGCCCCTCAACCCCAACTTGTCTGCCGAGCTGCTGCTTACCATGCTGCCGTGGGGGCGGGGGAGTAGTTTACTGCAGCCCCGCCCAACTACCTCCGCCCTCCCATCCACTCCTACCGTGACCTTCCTCCCACCCCCTTCTCTGCTATGCGCTATCCAGTCCGGTGGCCCACTTGTCACCCCTCCTGCTGCAAACCTTGTTGCCTTCATCTGAGTCCCAGCGCACTCTCCATCATTTTTCATTCTTTACTTTGAAACTTTTAAATTATTATTTTGAAACCTTTTTATTATTATTTTGAAACACCGACCGTGACCCATGGACGCGGCAGGTTTTGAGTTTGCAAAGGCAAAAAAGAGTTGCTGTCACAAAGATGTCACGGCGTGAGTTTGAAAGGGCAATTTGGGTAGAAAAGAATCCATTGGGCTGTTTTTTTTTTTTTCTTTCTTCATTCCCCTTCTGAAACCAGGGCTGACCCCAGGCCGTAGTTATGACACCCAGCCTGACACCACTGCCGTTGGTACTTTCATTGCTTTTCCGAACTCGGGGCCAGTTTCTTTGCCTGCCTGCCTCCACGTGTTTTTTTGGCTCATTCCATACTCAAGAGTGACATCAACGTCCTTGCCCCCTTTTATTTTGATTGTTCCTTTGGAAAAATAGATTCGGAAGGTGGTGGGAGTGTGGTCCCAATTGAGCTCATGCTTGTTATTTTTGACGGCTCCATTCCGTCGGTGGGGATCTACACCTGCTGGAAATATAGTTCAGCTACCCTTTTACTCGTACTAAGGAACGCAGTGTAGCTGTTTCAAGGTGATGCAGACATTTTTCTCCTTTACTGGGTCACCCTGTTTAATTTTGTTTTTTAAATAGGTTGGACCATTTCTGATTTATGTGTATGAGCCTTGCACAGGGCCCGGGCTGATCTTCTCTGCATCGTTCCATTTTTTATTATTACTAGGTAAGCGCCCGCGGTGTGGGCGCCGGGCGGTGCAGGCTATGCCTGCAGAAATAAGAAATGTTCTAGGCAACCTGACACGGACCACTTGCATAAACTCAGACAGACTATATTGCGCACGGCCGTCAAGCACCGCATGCCCGGGATGTTAGCAGCAGAGACCGAAGACTGCGGCTTGGAACCAGAGATGAGAGCATGGCAGGGGGAAGGAGAGATGAGAGCATGGCAGGGGGAAGGAAAGAGGGACTCGTCAAGAATTTTCAAACTGCCGCAAACGTTTAATGACTGAAGGTTCCTTGCCTCTTCTCCAAACCGTTCAGAGGGGGCTGGATAAGTCTTAGCGACCGGTCGTCTTAGACTGAAGCGATGCGTGGACGAACGATGAGCGGGGGATGGGACGAGCACGACCGGTCGTCGGAGGGCAATTAGGACGAAGGAAAGCAACAGAAGAGAGGTCGCTGCGGCTGCGATGGTGAGAGCCATTCGAGGACGACCGGTCGTCTTCCGACGACCGGGGTGCGTGGGAGACTGGCAACCTGAGCGATCCATGAAAGCCGAGAGGGTACTCCTCGTCGTGGAAGACGCATACCTCCTCAGTTTGACGCACACGAGTTTCGCCGTAGCTTTTTGATGTCCTACCAGGCTAGGATTCACCGAAAGCCTCTCCCGTACTATGTATCTAAGATGATCTCACCTTCGTTACCAATCACCAGTGCACCACATTAACTCGGGGAAGTCCTCGTGTGCGTATGGTATGACTCGGGGTTGAAAAAGGGGAAACGAAAGGAAAAAAGGACCTTAGCTTCCAGAAACAAGACAAAACGACGCATATACTTGCACGGACGAAAAGGAAGAAGGGGATCCGCGATGATCTCACCAACCTCCTTAGCTCTCTCTCTCTCTCTCTCTCTCTCTCTCTCTCTCTCTCTCTCTCTGTGTGTGTGTGTGTGTGTGTGTGTGCGTGCGTGCGTGGGGTGTGCGTGCGTGTGTGCGTGTGTGCGTGTGTGTGCGTATGTGCGTGTGTGTGTGTGTGTGTGTGTGTTTGTGTGCGCGCGCGTGCGTGCGTGCGTGTGCGTGCGTGCGTGCGTGTGTGTGTGTGTGTGTGTGTGTGTGTGTGTGTGTGT